GATTTAATAGAAAGATAAAAAATTAACGTTACTTTCGGGGGGGCCGTTACTTTCGGAATTCTACGGTATTGGCATGAGGTGAAACTAGTCTTGTGTTTAACACATTTAACTTCAGTGAGCTATCACAATACTGAGCATGATGCTTTGCATAAATATTTGATCCATCAGAGCACATTTCTGTAGGATTTTTATCAACTTGACCCGCCACCACACAGCCACAGAGACATGTGCATATACATGCATGTGCTGAATGGCACAAAAGGTCAAGTAACCCTTGAATGTGAAAGGAAGGGCAAATTGCACACAATTGACTTCCTGGTGGTGAATGTTTCTGGCGACAAACCTCCACTTCTCAATGGACGAGACGCACAGGCTTTAAGGTATTTGACTATTTATGCAGATGAGACAAACGCAGTCAAGGAGGAGACTACACGAAACTCGCACAAGCTGCCTGCACTCGGCAAATTAACTTCAGAGGACATTCTAAAGCACTACCGCAACGTTTTCAAACCAGGACGCGGGAAACCTCTTGGGAGCCCCATGCAAATCGACTTGGATCCGTCTGTCGCACCCGTTCATGCCCCCACGCCCCGCGTTCCAGTGGCAAAATTAGACAGAGTCAATGAAGAACTGAAAAGGCTCTGTGAAGAAGGAATTATAAGGCCTGCTACCCAACCTACTGACTGTCTGTCCAATATGCTGGTTAAAGAAAAACCTAATGGCAAACTCCGCATCTGCATCGATCCGAGCCAGACCATAAACAAGGCGATCAAAAGACCCAAATACACCATACCCACAATCGAGGAGAGGTCACCTCTTCTGACAAAAGCCAAGGTGTTCACCGTTGTTGACGTTTCTGAGGCGTTTCACACTATTGAACTGGATGAAGACTCTTCCCTAATTTGTTGATTTTGCAACAAGTCCTACAGTTAATTTAACATTTTTTTGCCGTACATAGCTCGAGTAACATTCCAAGAAAAATAAGACTCTGAGCACATATCTGACATAAAATGTCATTTAAATGTTGTCATATAGTTATTTCATATTGTTCTATAGTTTATACTGTTTTTAAACAACAAATCTGAAACATTGCAAGTAGCAACAAACCCATAAATATTATATATTATATTATACATTTTCAAGCTTTCAATGTTGGTATGTGTGTGGGATTATCATGGGTTTACAGTGTGAAATTTTGTATTACTGCATTAAATACACTACAAGCCGTTATGATTAAGCAAATTAAAGAAACTTATTTCTACATAGAAAATTCACAAACTAAGTTTTGTTTACTAGTAACAAATAAGTCAACGGAAAGCAAGATAATAAATACCACCGAGCAAACGTACAAGTTACAATCAAAATCAGTCAAGCACCCGAGATTTAATTACATTTTTCCTTCAAAAACTTCCATTTAGGGGAGGGTTTCACGGCTCAGCGCATGTGCAAGCTACAACGGTAATCATTCAATTTTCTTGTTTGTAAAACAACCGGAAGCGTGAAGTTCACATTGGCGGGAAATTCGCCGGTTAGTCGCGAAAACGTGACGATATAGGTAAGAATTCTCATTAGAATTCATTTTGTATTTTCCGACTTCGTGCATTAATCTCATTTTCGCTCGCCCCAACCACCCCCTGCTCTGTCGATTTTTTTTTTTGCTCTCAAATCCAATAGACCGTTTTCGTATTCTCGGCATTGGATTGGACCTAGCTTGCAACTGAGGCTAATGCCGCGGGTCGGGGAGTCTTTTCAAATACATGAGCCTCCATTACGAGCTAGTTCCAGTCCAATACCGAGAATACGAAATGGTCTATTTGCGTGCGGCCAGAAATCGGAAAAAGTTATTCGTTCGGGAACGCTCGTTGAATCGCTTCTCAGTTGTATCAATTGTTATCATGGTGTATTAATTTTGAATGAATTTATTGTCAACAACAAAGGCGACCACAGAATAAGAAAATGGTATTTCATGACTATTTGATCACTAAATTAGTTCTTGTTTATCAATGAGAAAAAAAAATTGGCATTTTGAGTAAAACAAAATCGTTTCTCTTCCACTTCTTCATCAGATACTTCACTTTCTTCCATATATCTCCAGCGGTGAAAAAAAAAAAAAACAAGCACATCCTGTGTGTGTTTTGGAGAAAACAAGGGTTTCATTTTACATACCTTTGCAAGTAAAACAAAAGTATCAAATTACAAACTCGGCATGAAAAGTGAAATGGTCACGTTTTTTTTCCTTCAACGTACGGTGGTGTTGAATTTAATATGAACGAAAATTAACGAAAAACACCAGAGTAAAATTTAAAGGCTGTCTTGACAAACGGTAAATTGAAGTTAATCTTGGACCTTAATGAAAATACACTCATAAAACAAGCACACTGTTCGGATTGTCTTATCAAGGTTTGGGCATTGTCTGCAAAAAAAAAAAAAAATAACTGCAAGGGGAAACTGATTCAACCCGAGAGTGACCCGGCCAGGGATAAAGACTTGTGAGATTACCGGGCCAGAGCGATCAGTTGCACTCTGCACTATGTGAAATTGTCTCACTAGTTTCCTCATGTTATGTTCCTGCTGTTATGTTGCTATTATGTCATTATGTCAGCATGTTCACACTACTAACATAACATAACATAACGTCCTTCTTACGCCATTATGTTGAAGTCGTTATGTCGCTGGTGTGAACCAGGCTTAAGAAGGCTGATCAACCACATGTATTTCAGGCAAATTCGGTAATCACGGACTATAATTTTGTGAAAGTAGAATCATGGCCTTTTTGTAGCCGTACGGTCACAAGAAAGGTCCGAAAGTCGGCAGAATTACTAATGTCCAAAATCCATGGAAGATGTCAACAGATTTACACAGAAAATGTTGAATTTAGTATTGAACATTGCATTTATTACTTGGCCTGGCAGCTTTATTCTGGACTGAACACACAAGTTACCTACCTTCTTAGACATTTTTCGATATTTGGTAGTAGTTACATAATCTTAGTTTAGTTTACTATTTACTCCCAAGTGTACAGTTTCACTTTGTTATTTTGTTTTCTTGGCGCACCTGTAATCTAGCTGGTGCGTCCTGTAGACTCTGCTTATCAAGTCTCAGGGACGTACCGTTACCATGTCTACCTGAATCTGACCGACAATGGAATTAGGTGGGCTACATCATAGCTTGCACCTGTGCTGAGCCGTGAAAGTATCCCTTTAAATGAAGCAGTAGACCTAAAGTGGCATGCACTGAAAGTCAAATTAAATTTTAATTGCTTTAATGTATGGCTTGAAGTACAGGTTTTCTGATCTTGGCATCATCATAGACAAGCGTGATGGGTGGCTACTGAGTGCTACTTTCCAGTCTCCTCAGGAACAAAACCAATGTTATTTTCCATGGAGAGTGAACTTTATTTCTTAGTTTATGGTGGAAAAAGAACACAATTAATGTCATCTTTTTCTTGTACCCTGACGAATATCCCTCTCCATCTCAAACTGCCTCTCATCTGTTCTTTTAAGAAATGCTTGCTTTTCCAAATACCTGAAAATGTTTCAAGTTAGCGTTATTACAAATTATTAAAAATGAACAATTCAATCATTTTTTTTCTTGCTGTTAGATAGTAAACTTCGCTGACAGAGAAAGTAACATTCCACAAATTTTAAAAACGTGGGTGACTGGAGACCTCTAACATAGTTGCTTTGGTTTCAATAAAATCTATTGCATGAACAACAAGTGCTTAAGGTTTGTTGGTGTAGAGAGTTACAAGATATCTTTGATGTGAAGTTTATATGGAATAATCCATATATGAACTGCGGTTGTAGATGAAAGTGAAGAGTGATCATCGCAGTAAATTTTCCAATTTAAGCCCTGATTTTTTCAAGATATCTTTTGTAACAGAGCAGAGCAGTGCTGTTTCTAATTCAATTGACTACTTTGGGGTTTTACTTCTTTCAATGCACACTGTCTCGTGGTTGCTCTTAACAACAAGAAAGGCCTACAAACCCATCTTTGTTAAAGTTTTGAAGTTCCTCCTGAATTCCTTCTTGTTCTTTAAACACGTTCCAGTCCAGCTTTGACTTTTCCTTAAAACAACCACATTTTCATTAGCTTTTGAAGTTTTAATTACAATTATAGGAACTCTCGCTTTGCAGCTTATTAAAACTGACCCTCAAAAACGACATTTTTTATATCACGGTGTTATTGTAAGCAATATTGACATTATTTACACTCTTGACAAAATTATGGACACTAATTTAAACAACTGAGAGAAATGGAGGACTTAAGAAATCTAAAATCCAAAACCCCTATGAGTTTTTAAGTCTTTTGAGTTTCAAAAATTCAGTTTGTCTGATGTCAAGTGGTAATACTGAGGCTCTCAAATCATTTTTGTAACTATAACATCAACAATTCAAATATGTGTCTAGAAAAATAACAGTGCCACTGGTTCCAACATAAATAGCAGGTTTTGTGTGTGCATGGTCAAATCCCTATGACGAGTAGATAAGCAAAATTTGTGGGATGCCTTCACCTTGGAAGCACTAGAAGGGATTTGATACATGGCTAAGCTAGAGGGAGATCACTTTAGGTCCCATGGATCCATTAAGTTGGTTTGAACTGGCTAACACATCAGAAACTCCAACAGAACACCGCCAGGACTGGGCTCTGGGCTTCAGAGGTGTGGGTGCTGGTGAAATTGAATGTATATCCCCTCAGGTGGGCCCAAAGAGAGTTACAGGGTTCGTACCCATTTTCAGAAACAAATTTCCAGGACTTTTCCAGGACTTTTCCAGGACTCAGATTGATTTTTCCAGGACTATAAAATTCACATTAACCCTTTCACTCCCAAGATCTCAATGCTAATTCTCCTTACTGTCTGTGATACATTTCATGTTTTTTTACTTGAGTTTAACAGATTTCCAGAACTTTCCAGGACCAGTAGCCTTTTTCCAGGACTTTCCAGTCCTGGAAAATGCCACA